TTGACAAGCACAAGCCGGTATAGAAAACACATTTGAACTTGGTCAAAGTTCATACTGCAAATCCAATGCTGCAGGCAAAGCCATGCTGCAATGACATGCTACATGGCAATGCACACTTGTTTTTACATCGTAAAAACCCGAGTCTAGTTAGATTAGTGCTGCCCACCACTGGTGATCTCCATCTGAAACTCTTCTGTCTGTTTGTGTTTCAGGCGGAAGCATGGATCAGAAGCAAACTGCAAGACCTAAAGGATGGGTGGGATGTTCAGTACTGCCCCCTGCAGGACTGGGAGGAAGCTTCGCAGACGCTTCAGCGAGACATGAAGGATTTTGAGAACACCCTGATCCAGCTCAACCAGGTAACGGAGATTCAGAGATCTGAGAGCAACGTGATTCATCTGTCACACGGAACATTATCCAACGATTCCAACAACCCAAAGAGATGTTTAGCGAGCCGACGCGGGTCGTAACGAAACCGTTGGGTTTGTTGGTCCATCCGTGCTGCAGCTCAAATAAATACTGCGTTGTGTTTCTGAAGATGGGGGAGCAGCTGGTCTGCAGGCTGAACCCCATGTCGGACCTGGTGAGGAAGCAGCTCTGTCAGCTCCGGGACCAGTGGCACGCCCTGAAACAGACGGCGGCCAATCAGACGCGAGCTCTGGGCGGAGCCAGGAGCCTGCAGGAGTTCAACACGAAGGTGGAGAAGCTGGAGGCATGGATTAAAGAGAAGGTACAAATAAAGTATTTAAAGTACTTATAATCCAATATGAAACATGTTTGAGTTTAATACCTGGTACTTACTGGGAATAATACTGGGTACTTTCCAAGTTGGCACCTGGTACTTACCAGGTACTTTCCACACATATGTGCTACATGCCTGATACTTAATGGGTATTTACCAGGTACTTACCAATTGCTAACCTAGTACTTACTGATACATACATGGTACTTACAGAATACATAAAGAGTACTCACTGAGTACATATGTGGTACACACCAGGATTTTATCAGGTGTGCATCTGAGACTCACAGTACCTTATATTTACAAGGTACATATCTTATGCTTACTGGATCATAGTCACTTATATGGTATTGAGTATGTACCAGGTACTTACCTGGTACTTACTGGGTATATACCTGTATTTACTGYMTTACTTTCCAGGTATGTAAATGATATTTACAGAGTTTGCTAAGGATACATACTAGGTKATTATCAGAAAAGTTCCAGGTATTCATCTGAWATTTACAAGGTATGTACCTATTACTTACTGGAAATATTCCAGGTATTCACCTTATATATACAGTGTATGCATTCCATACTTACGCAATGACTTTGTACCAGATATGTACTGTACCCTGTAAGTCTCAGGTAAGTACCAACTACATACCCTGTATGTACCAGACAAGTCCTTGATACAGCCTCTGTATCAGTGGAACTCTGGTAAGTACCTGGTAAATTCCTAATATGTATCATGTAAGTACATGGTACTTACTGAGTAAGTCTCCTGTATCCGTACCTTGTATTTATAAGGTACATACCTTGCATTTACTGGGTACGTACCTGGTACTTACTGGAAATGCTCCAGGTATTTACTTGACACTTGAGTATGTATCTGGTACCTAGTGGGAACGCACTCCGTACTGTATGTACTGACTGTGTACCAGATATGTAGCTACCCTGTAAGCCTCAGGTAAACCAGCTACAGACCTTGTAAGTACCAGTTAAAATCTGGTGTGTACCTAGTATGTTTTTTTTTATTTGACATTTAAAAATACTTTTTTCTCCTCATTCGGACATAACTTTTCACAGATTTGTGATCCTGTTTTATCTTTACATCTCCGCCTCTCGGTTTCCCATTTATCTAAACAGAACATGTAGGCTTTTAAAAACAGAGTTAATGAAGCAGAAAAAGTAAAAACTGTTGGTTCAGATACAAATCTTTTTCCACCCTCAGCCTAATCAACAGCTGTCGAGATCATTGGCCCAAAGCCTGAACTCACTAATCCAGGAAATTAGCTCCGTCTCCTGAAGACACGTCTGTTTAATGTAAACTCACTTTGTAAAACATCTGCCTGTCGTTATTAGAAAGTAATCATCTGGTGCACTTTAGGCCTGTGTTTATCTGTGTTCACTTCTGCCACGAGGGAGCGAGTAAGAGATGACGAACCAGTGGAAATAATGTTTAAGAAAACTATAAAARATTCATGTTTTCTCAGTTCAGCTCTTTTACTCTGTTAGTATCAGTTTTAATGTTTCTCCTTTTACGCTGACAGCCATTTCTGTTCAGCATTTTTTTTTTTTTTGGTAGTGGGGGTGTTGTGCCTCTTATAAGAAATAATTGTTGTTTTTTTATTAAACTTTTATGTGCAGCAGCAGGAAGAAGAACGGTCTCCGGTGAGCCTCCTGGAGGAAAACGCTGACAAAATGCAGCTGACCAGGAAGATTCTTGATCTTAAACAGGCGAGTAAGCTTCGAAGTCATTTATAAACAATTAGAACCACAGGCTTTCAACAATGACCCGGTGAACAGAAGACATGTCRGGTGTAGAAAACACATCTGTGTCTAAAATAATGCTAAATCTGTTTCTCACCGAGGTACATTTTCACTTAAATTCACACAAATTTGGTACAAACAATTTTAACGTTTGCTTACATGATGAGGAAGAGGATCACATTTCAATCTCACAAAAAGATATATATACTGCCTAGTGGTAGCAAATATGACCTCCATACATACGTAAAGTACCAATGCACCAGAACTCGGAAGTCACTAGAAAAAATTTGTTTTTTTCTTGATTTGTATTGTTTTGTTTTTTGGGGGGCAGTGGGCAGCTCATTGGTAGGCCCGATGGATATCCCTTCATCAGAGTTAAATAATAAACAAATCTGAAGATCCTACGTTGATTAGTTTTTGAGTTATAAGCATTTTTGTATGTCCAGACACCACCTTTTCAGATGGAGCCCCCTCCTCAAATATGGGGTCTATCAT